GGGGGCCGGCGACGGCCGTGACGGCCGCGTCTCCTCCCTCCCTCCTCCTCCTCCTCCCTGGAGGAAGACGAGGAGGACGACGACGAGCGGCCGGCGGCGGCGGCCAGCGGCCGGCGGTTACACTTGTCGTCCTCCGGGTCCTGGGTGCGAGTCTCGACGGTGGTGGACACACGAGGAGGAGGTGGAGGTGGAGGCTGGTTCTCGGGGGCGCCGGCCATCGCGTCGGCATCCCCGGCCGGGTCGGGTTTCGGCCTGCTGGCCACGTCCGTGTCGGACGGGGTGGCCAGGGCCTGGACGGAGCGCAGGAGCCGCAGCACGGGCCTCAGCAGGGCGTCCTCGGGGGTGGAGGAGGCCGGGACGGTGGTGGAGGCCGGGACGGTGGAGGCCGACATGGTGTTGGAGGCCGACATGGCGGCCGTGGACGAGGCCGGGCCCTGGGCCAGCAGCAGCCCCAGCAGCCTCTCCCGCAGCGCCCGCTCCTTCCGCTGCAGCCCCAGCGCCCGACGCTTCTCCTCCTCCACCCGACGCAGCTCGGCCTCCTGCACCCGGCGACGCTCGGCCTGCAACCGGCTACGGCGACGCTCCTCCTCCCGCTCCCGGGCGGCCAGACGGGCGGCCTGCGGGACAGACGGACGGGGGGGGGGGACGGACGGGGTGAGAGACGGGGCGGACACGGAGACGGCGATCCCCCGGATCACTGAGATCTACTGCAGTGATCCCCCAGATCACAGGGATCGAGGACAGCGATCCTCTGGATCACACAGATCTGTGTATAGACAGTGATCTCCCAGATCACACGGATCTAGGACAGCGATCCCCCAGATCACTGAGATCTCTGCATGTGGACAGTGATCCCCAAGATCACAGGGATCGAGGACAGCGATCCCCCGGATCACAGAGATCTATGTGTGGACACTGATCCCCAAGATCACAGAGATCCACCAGATCACAAGGATCTGTTGATCCCCTGGATCACAGGGATCTCTGTGTGTGGACAGTGATCCCCAAAATCACAGGGATCTAGGACAGTGATCCCCCACACCACAGGGATCTCTGTGTGTGGACAGCAATCCCCCAGATCACACGGATCTAGGACAGCAATCCCCTGGATCACAGGGATCTAGGACAGCGATCCTCTGGATCACACAGATCTGTGTATAGACAGTGATCTCCCAGATCACACGGATCTAGGACAGCGATCCCCCAGATCACTGAGATCTCTGCGTGTGGACAGTGATCCCCAAGATCACAGGGATCGAGGACAGCGATCCACCGGATCACAGGGATCTAGTGCAGTGATCCCCTAGATCACATGAATCTGTGTGTGGACAGTGATCCTCTGGATCACAGGCAACTAGGACAGCAATCTCCCGGATCACAGAGATCTATGTGTGGACACTGATCCCCAAGATCACAGAGATCCACCAGATCACAAGGATCTGTTGATCCCCTAGATCACAGGGATCTGTGTGTGCACAGTGATCCCCAAGATCACAGGGATCTAGGACAGTGATCCACCGGATCGCAGGGATCTAGTGCAGCGATCTCCCAGATCACAGGGATCCAGGACAGCGATCCCCCCAGATCACAGAGATCCACTGGATCACAAGGATCTGGTGATTCCCCCACATCACAGTAATCTCTGTGTGGACAGTGATCCTCCAGATCACAGGGATCTGTGTGTGGACAGTGATCCCCTGGATCACACGGATCTAGGACAGCGATCCCCCAGATCACAGGGATCTGTGTGTGTGGGCAGTGATCTCCCAGGTCACAGGGATCTAGGACAGTGACTCACCGAATCACAGGGATCTGTGTATAGACAGCGATCTCCCAGATCACAGGGATCCAGGACAGCGATCCCCCAGACCACAGAGATCCACTGGATCACAAGGATCTGGTGATTCCCCCAGATCACCGGGATCTGTGTGTGGACAGTGATCCCCGAGATCACAGGGATCTAGGACAGTGAACCCCTGGATCACAGTGATCTCTGTGTGGACAGTGATCCCACGGATCACAGGGATCCAGGACAGCGATCCCCCAGATCACAGGGATCTGTGTGTGTGTGGGCAGTGATCTCCCAGGTCACAGGGATCTAGGACAGCGATCCACCGGATCCCAGGGATCTGTTGATCCCCCGGGATCCCAGGGATCTAGGAGGGTGGATCCCACCGGATCACAGGGATCCACGTACAGACAGTGATCCTCGGGATCCCAGGGATCCAGGACAGCGGTCCCCCGGATGTCAGGGATCTGTGTGTGGACAGCGATCCCCCGGATCCCTGGGCCCCCCCCCCCCCCCCCCCGCGTGCGAGCCCCACCTTGGCCCGGGCCAGCA